AGAGAGAGAGACAGAGAGAGACACACACAGAGAGACAAAGACAGAGAGAGAGAGAGAGAGAGAGAGAGAAAGAGAGAGAGAGATCCTTATCCTTCCCCACATTCTCTCCTGTGTCCTCAAAGAAAATAAAGCCCCTTTCCCTTCTTTCTTCTGCCTGTTTCTCAGCTGTGCACATCACCTGAAAACACATATCAACTACAGAATGAGACATTTTCCTCATAGAGACATTCCAAGTGTCACTTAGGATTCCTTGTGTGAAGTTGGTTTGAACACAGGTCCCTTTTTTTCTGAGCTCTTCTGAAGCTACACATTTCCCTTTGCCACCATCTAGTTCCCTGGAGGGAGGCTTGAACCCTACTTGTAAAGCCTGATTCACAACACTTTCAGGCAGGCACTTACATCATTGAGCTACCTCCCCAACCCCTGGGTCACAACATTTTCAGATTGTGTAAGATTATGAGAGGGAGGGGAGTCATTTTAATCTGGTAAAATTTGTGTTATTATTTGATTCACCTCCTTTGCTGAATATACACTGGACGTTTTCTGTACTTAGGGAGCTCTGCTAGTTGTTCACCATCTTAGAGAAAAACCTACTGCTGTTCCTTCGAGCAAACACAATTCTGTACAACCAGCTTCTACTAATTGAAGTAAGCAGAGATTCCACTGAGGGAATCAAATGGCAGCTTCCTCTTCCGTCATAACTTGTTCTTCCTTTCCCAAACTGAAAATAAATTATGAATTGGGAAAAGGGCAGTGCATGACTTGAGATAAACTTTTGAGTATGAAACTGAAAAAGAATCCTCTTGGATTTATTACCTAGTGTTTTAGGATTTCTGCCAACATAAGTGGAAGCTGTCTCAAAATAGAGAAGAAAGGGCCCCACTTATTGTTATTTTGGAATTACTAAACAGCAGCTTTTCAGTTGTTTTGTTTCTCTCTGCATTTAAGGAGTTAGAATTTATTTACAGAATATTAGGACCAAGTAAAATACAGATTTGATACAAAACCATTGAGCTGCCTTGCTTCTGTGAAAACAAAGCAGAGGATAAGGTCTGTAAAGTGAGTGTGGAATGGATTTTTAATTTTTTCTTTCCAAATTGATAGTCCCAAAGCATCATCCATTAAAGCCCCTCTACAGAAACTGGCGCCTCATTGTTCACTGACCTCTCAGTTTCACTTAATTCATTTTTATTTGCAATGTAATTTATTGTATACAACCTTTTAAAGCGAAGAAAAGAAACTCTATATCTTTAAAAGCTCTAAAAAAGCCGTGGTCTTCATTACTCAGCATCTTTATTCTTTCTTTTTTACCTAACATACAAATGAATAGGGTAGATTTAGCTCACAGAAACTCATAAATTCAAACCACTTAGTGAGGAAAATGGAATTTAATTATTTGTTCCATGGAAAAACTCATAGTGCCTTTTGTTAAATATTGCAGATTGTGTTGATTGATGAACACAAGAAGAAGAAAGTAACATAGTGGGAGCAGATTGACCTTTCTCCCTAAACATGGTCTCTTTAACTATTACTCTGATAAAAATTAAGAATATTAAGTGCTTTATGTTGCTGTGGTGCTTGAATGCTATTGTTTAAACAGTTTCCTGATTTATTCATACTCACACGAATGAGAGGTAAATGAGGAATAGTTTTCAGTGTTTTAGAACAGAAAAAGTGGACAGAACGTAGTGAAACTGATGGCTATTTGTGTGTGTGTGTGTGTGTGTGTGTGTGTGTGTGTGTCCCTGAGAGCTGTCCTGATAGCTCCTGAAAGGACCCCATCAGGCAGCCCTCAGTTCTACCCCGTGACCCCAGTTCACAAGCAAAGTCTCTCTGATGTCTCCTACCATAAGCTTACACCTTCAAGCCTGAAAAGCAGGGTCAGCCAAATAGCTCAGTGGATTAAAGAGCCTGCAAGCAGGCCCAGGGGCCTGGGGTCTCAGTGTGCCACCCGGGGGCATACTGAGACAGCAGTTGAGACTCGGCATCGTGGCATACGCCTGTAATCCCAGGTCTTGGGAGGCTGTAAACAGGCGGATCACTCCGGATCCAGTCTAGTAGTGAGACCCTGAACACCCTGTAGACCCTTCCCTAAAATACAAAAAAGAAAAAAAAAATCCTGAGAAGAAATACCCCTTCTTTTCATGTCTTTTCTTCAAAATGTCTAGATGTGGGCAGTTGGGACCTTATAAACAATCCAGTATAGAAGACCCTGTCATTCACAATGTGTGACATAGTTTCCTTGCTCCTCAATTACTATTATAATTGACTTATTAACTCCTTTTATTTTATGGTCTCCCTTCATTTGAAATGTGTCCTCCCAAAGCTACAGTAAATTAAAGGTTTTATGTATATTTGCATAAATACACCTACTTAGAAATGATTTGTGATCTGGGATAATCTGATTTGGAGTTCTTTTCAGATCATATTTCTTTCATCACTCTTTCACTAAATATTTAATGAGGGCCCACTCTGAACTGGGTATTCTGCTCCACTCTGGCGATATTATGAAATCAAGCCTTTCCTTCTCCCCTGGGAGCTTATTGGGAAAACAGGGAGAACAGCAGACATTAACCAAATAGTCAGAATAATGAATTGACATTCCAGCAGTTGATACTTATGACAAGGAAGTGAGAGATGCTCTGTGTTTTCACACTGGCCCTGATCTCGAGTGGGGCATTGGTGTTGGCTGGGAAGATCTCCCTAAGAAAGACCTCTAAAAAAAGACACAGCCAAGGGGAAAAGAAAAACTTGCAGGCAAAGAAAACTTCTTAGAGACAAATCCCCAAAATGGGGCAAGCTTTCATATGTCATCTCTTGTCCTTGGGGCAAAATCTGCATAATTTCTACTTCAGGATTTGTCACTCTGTTTCTTGATTAGCCTTAGGTAGCATTAAGCTGCCTGTGCTGTCATCTAGTTATCTATCTATC